AGGGTTTCATAAGTGGATCTGTCCATGTCACATCCTTGGGGTACGGGCTCGTCGTGGCAAAGAAGGAGAGGAGGGGAAAGGGAACCCCATCGCATGAGTGTGGTAGTGATGGAAAATCGAAGAGAAGAGTGGAAAAAGTGGATCTGCCCATGCCTCATCACTGGGGTAGGGGTTCGACGGGGCAGAGAAGGAAGGGAAGGGAAAGGGGAAACCCCCATCGCCTGAGTGCGGTGGTGATGTAATGGGCAGGGAAGGCTAGAAAAAATGGATCTGCCCATGTTGCATCCCTGGGTTAGGGGATGGTAGGGGCAGAGAAGAGGATGATCACACAGACGCGGATCGACCTCCACCTGCTCACCCGCTGTGTGTGCCCATGTCCAGATTAAAGGGTCACTCACAACGTACACACTAACAGTGCTGCCATTGTTTCATTGTGCGAGCTGTGCGGTGTAGGTGGAGTAGATCGGGAGCGCATACCTTTTTGCTTCAGCTCAGCATACGCAGCACCCCGACGGGCCCCACCCTGACGGAACACGGTGGTGTCGTGTCGTAGAGTCTCCGCATCGCTCCCATGATCTCCCGGGAAGGCATATACCAAACTCCTGATAGCAGCTTGCTGTCCTCCCACGAGGGCATCAGGTCGGCCTGCCATGCGATCCTTCCCCCCCTGAAACTTTCCAGCATACTTTTCCAAGTAGCCTTGCACTGCCTTCTCGGCCGCGTCGCCGTCCATACCTGTACATTGGGTGAATGAACGGTAAAGGGTACCATCATGGGCATGGAGAAGCTCAGTATCACGTTTTTCACCATTGAAATTTTGAAATAACAAAACCAATCGTGGGTTTTTGGCAGCCCAGGATTATGTTGTCACTCACCGGCCTTCTTCGCTGCTATCATAAGTGCCTCCGTTGCCCCTGGGCCGGCATATAACAGGAAGTACACAAGGTCTGAAAGTGTTGCTGTATGTCCCTCGCCCATCAAAGCGCTTAAGCCACATCGCAAGTAACAAATAGGAATATGCATGTGCTTTGATATCGACAGATTTCCCTGTTCCTTAGCTTTCACCAATTCCTTCACCCTCTTTGTCCATGTCTCCACAGACAATTTTTTTGGATGCCCCATGAAGTGCACTCTCCGTTACGAGTCCTGTGCTGTATGGACGGCGGAGGGAATGGAAGGGGAAAGCAGGGTAGCGCGTTGGTGCGGCGGAGATGGAATGGGGGCCAGTATTTTACAAGGAAACCACCCTGTGAGGGAGGGAAGATGAAAAGAACAGGAAGGCAGTGGGGCTATGCCAGAGCTGAGAGGGAAATGAAGAGGAGCATGGTGGGGAAAATAAGGGGAGAAGGGGGAGAAATGAAGGGGTGATGGAGGGAAATGAGAGGGAAGCGAGGAATTTTGCAGAAGGAGGAAAATGATCATGACCAAGGGGGGAAATGTTAGGGAGAAGGGCTGGAATGTGGATGAGCGTGGGGGGAGGTGAGACGGAGAAGGGGGAGTATGTCAGTGTGAGCAGGGGGAGAACTGCCTGGCAGAAAGGGGGGAGACGAGGGGGGGCAAGGGGGAAAATAAGAGGGAGCAAGGGGGGAAATGAGAGGCGGCAAGGGTGGAGCTGAGGGGGAGCATGGATGGAAGTGAGAAGGAGCAGGGAGTGAAATGACGGGGAGCAAGGGGAAAGTAGGAAGGGCGAAGGGCGGAAATGAGGGTGAGAAGCGGGGGAAATGAGAGGGAGCAAGGGGGGAAATGATGGTGAGAAGTGGGGGGGCTGAGGGGGAGCAAGGGGAAAAATGATGGTGAGAAGTGGGGGGGCTGAGAGGGAGCAAGGGGGGAAATGATGGTGAGAAGTGGGGGGCCTGAGAGGGAGCAAGGGGGGAAATGAGGGTGAGAAGTGGGGGGGCTGAGAGGGAGCAAGGGGGGAAATGATGGTGAGCAAGGGTGGAAGTGAGAGGCGGCAAGGGTGGTAATGAGGGGGGAGAAGTGGGGGAAGTGATAAGGGGCAGGAGGGGAAATGAAGGGGAGCAGTGGGGCTAATGAGAGGGAGTAGGGGGGAAATGAGGGCGAGAAGGGGGCGGGCTGAGAGGGAGCAAGGTTGGAAATGAGGGGGGCAAGGTGGGGGCAATGAGAGGGAAAAGGGGGGGACATGAGAGGGAGAAGGGGGGGACATGTGGGGTCGAAGGTGGGGAAATGAGTGGGAGCAAGGGGGGGAAATGGTGGTGACAGGGGGGGGGGGCTGATATGGAGCGACAGGCGAGAAATGAGATGGAGAAAGGGGGAAATGAGCGGTAGTAAGGGGACAACTGAGAGGGATAAAAGGGGTATTTGAGAGGAACATAAGGGTAGATAAAGAAGGGGGAGAAGGGGGTGAAATGAGAGGGACAAGGGGATGTAATGAGAGGGAGAATGGGGGGAAACGCAGGGGTGAAGGGGGAAATGAGAGGGAGGTGGGGGGAATTGTGAGGGAGAAGGGAGGAAAATGAGGGCGAGAAGGGGGCGGGCTGGGAGGGAGCAAGGGGGCAACTTGAGAGGGAGTAGCGGGGTAATGACGGGGAGAAGGAAGGTGGAGGATGACAGGGAGAAAAGGGGGATTTGTGAGCGAGAAGGGTCGGATTTGATAGGAAAATAAGGGTACATAAGGGAGGGGGAGAAGGGAGAGGGACAAGGGGGATAATGAGAGGGAGAATGGCGGGAAATGAGAAGTAGAAGAGGGGCAAAAGGAGGAGGAGCAGGGGGGGTAATGAGGAGGAGAAGGGTGGATATGAGAGGGAGAAAGGGGGGGAAATGAGGGGGAGAAGGGGGGGCGATGAGAGGGAGGTCGGGGAGCAATATGAGGAGGAGGAGAAAGGGTAATGAGAGGGACAAGGGGAACGACTGAAGGCGAGAAGGGGGGGTAATGTGTGTGAGCAGGAGGCAAAATGAGAGGGAGAAGGATGGAGAATGAGGGGGAGAAGGAGGGAAAAAGAGGGGGAGAAGGGGGGGGGGGGAATGAGGGGGTGAAGGGGGGGGAAATGAGGGGGAGAAGTCAGGCAAAAGGAGGGGAGTAGGCGGGGTAGTGAAGGGGAGAAGGGGGGATAAAGGGGGGGAAGGAGGGGTAATTAGAATAGGATGCGCTAAGCAGGAAGGCGCGCAGCGGGTGCGGTGCTAAGCGGGAGAGGGCGAGGCGACACGCGGGAAAGGCGCGCAGGGGGCGAGGCGCTACGCGAGAGAGGCGTGCAGCGGGTGAATTGTTGCAAGAGAGGGACGCACAGCGAGTGCGGGGCTAAGCGGGAGAGGCGCGCAGCGGGTCAGGCGCTAAGCGGGAAAGGCGCGCAGCGAGTGATACGCTGAGCGGCATGGCGCGCAGTGGGTGAGGCGCTAAGTCGGAAATGCCTACCGAGCGGGTGTTGAGAGTGGCGGCATGGCCAACGGCGCATGTAACTATGCGATTCCCTCGTCCACCCCTAAATTATCAATCCCAGCGTGGTGATGCGGCACGATCACGCGGCGCCCTTGACCGGTCTTCGACGGGCCAGACCACACTGCTGAAGGCGACGCGCTCAATGAATGCAGAGCCTTTCCGTCTTGGACTCGGATTGCTGAACGGCGCTGCAGCGGAAAGGAGCTGGCGGGCAAGCTAGATGGTTTTTTTTACGCTCGCACAAGCCTGTAATGTACTTCTTCTCAGATGTGACTATCTGGGCGGTTTTGATGCTCCGCATATTCTTCGTCGCGCCCCGGTTCTTCGCTTAGCCTACGTTATTAGACGCTTAGCATGCTTCGGCGTGGGCGTTTGGGTGACGGGGGAATTTCCCGTGTTTGGAACTCCTCCAAGGTGCAATTTGTCGCCAAACCTCTCGCCAACCTCCGTTGTTTCGTTCAGGCGATTTTTTCCCTGGCTACAGTACAAACCTAAACAGTGCTTGCAAATGTATACAAAAGCTTTAACACTAGCCCACAGGCGTTACACTCGTCCCCCCCTGGTGTCAACGTCCTCGTTGACGAACTTCAGGGAGTCGGCCCTCGCAAGGACCTATTCGCAGGCCAGCGGAGGATCGTTCGCTGGGTTCGCGGCTGGGTTACCACATTCCAGGTCTCACTCAAAGCGGACAATGTGGACCAGACGGGAATCGAACCCTAGGCTCTGATACCAGTATAACACATCGCTACCCACTGGGTCAAAACGAGGGTGTTATTTGGCGCAGCGGAATGCCCTTAACACTAGCCCACAGGCGTTACACAAACGGCAGGGGCTGCCCGCCGTGCTGGCTGCCCGCGCAACAAAGGGAAGCAGCCGCAGCCAGAAGGACTGCTGGGGGAGCGGTTGAAAGGAAAGGGCGAGCCGAGGAGCAGCACTGTGGCATGCGGTTGGAATCAGTTTTGGCCGCCAACCCCCTTATCGCTCGGCCTGCCCGGCCCGAGCCCGCCCTTCCCCCCTACGCCTTCTTCTCGCACAACCCCCACTCTTCCGCCCTTGGCCCCCCTTGCACGCAACTACAGGTACAGGCAGGGGAACAGGCATGGGCACAGGCACAGGCGCGGGCACGACCACAGGCACGGGAACAGGCGCGGGCACAGGTACGGGCAGAGGTGCGGGCACGGCACAGCCACAGGGTTGGGCATGCGGTTGGAGCAAGTGTGGAGAGGTACAAGCAGTCACGGGAGCGGCAAGGGCAGGGGGCGGGCGATGTGGAGTAACGAGCAGACAATCGCCCTGCTGAAGATCATGTGCGGCGTGCTGCGCGCTTAGGGTAGCGCCCTCCCCAGCAAGATCGAGGACTGGGGGGCGGTGCACCGCGAGTGGTTGCAGCGAGGGTTTTCCAGGCACTCGGAGGAGCAGTTGAGAATCCGGTGTAGAGTGGTGCGGGGGTGGGTGAAGGACATACAGGCCCTGCAGGCAATGCTGCCGCATGAACTCGAGTGGGATCCCACCACTCAGTACTTTGATCCCGAGGTTTTTTAAACCGAGTTGAGTTGTGGTTTGGCACTGACCCCAGGGTGATCTCTACTTTGACCCTGACCCTAAGATGAACTTGAAATGCTTTTTAACCCTGACCGCAGGTTGGGATGTGGGCACTGAAATGAAATGTTTTCTTACATGGAATGGAACGTACAGAATTGAGAGCCCTTTTCTTCTGAAATGCATACACTGATTCAATTCATTTAAACTAGTCGCATGTGGACCTTTATCCTGTATGCGCTGAAGCCCACCCTCCTCTTCTTTCACATCCCTTTCCTTGCTCGCTGTTCCTTACCCCATTTCCCCCATTCCCCACCCCCCACACCCTCCCCTCCCAACATCTCTCTCCTCTCCCCGCGTCAGCTGAGCATCATCCTACAGTTCAGGGGCAGCACGCAGCTGGGCATTATTCCAAAGCTGAGTCAGCACCCGCTGTCGCGGAACTACTATTTGCGGTGGTGTAGCCACGTGGAACCCTGGCTGCCCCTCGCCCTGCTCTCCTCCCACACTTGACCTGCTGAGAACGTGCGAGGGGAGGTGCAGTGGAGGGAGGAGGGGGAGGATGATTGGGAAGAGGGGGAGGAGGAGGAGGAGGAGGAGGAGGAGGAGGAGGAGGAGGAGGAGGAGGAGGAGGGTGATGGAGGGGAGCAGGTAGAGGAGGAGGAGGAGGAAGAGGGAGACGATGGGGAAGAGGAGGATGATGAAGTGGTGGAGGTGCGGGCAGGAGGAAGCGGGAAAGGAGAGGCAGAGCGGGAGGAGATGGGAGGGGTGAGTGGAGGGGTTGGAGAGGTGGAGAGTGGAACGGTGATGAGTGGTAGGGAACGAGAAGGGGAAATGCGGGGCACCAGGCTGGGAAGGGGGAGGTGTGAGGAGCAGAGGAGGGGAAGAGGGTGTGGGGGGAAGAGGGATTGGGAGTGCTGGGGTTGGTGCTGCACAGGGGAATGGCGGGTTTGGCCGTCCAGTTGACGCACCACAGGCTAATGGCATGCGTCATGCTGAGGTGGCACGAACCAATGTCAGTTTTGCTTACGGTGCTTGTACTGACATGGCTCGTGCTGACGTGGCCCGTGCTGCTGTCATGGCCGGTGCAAGCGCGGATGAGAGGGACGAGTACCCTGCGAGGCTGGCAGCGCGGATCGCTGACAAAGTGGCGAGTAGGAGGGAGCAAGGCGGCACATAGAGGCGAGGGTTTGAGGGCGAGGGGGGAGGGGCTGGGGATGCAGGAGATGGAGGAGGGAATGCAAGAGCATGGCAGGAGATTCGGGTTCAAGAGGGGCCGAATCGAGGGGGGAGGGGTGTGAAGCGGTCGAGACCGGTGTGGGTGCAGGTGAGGGAGAGGAAGCGGCAGCGGCGGGTGATGGAGAGTGTGGCACGTGCCCTCACAACGTTCAGGAGCATGGCTGAGAAGGGGCAGCCCCACGTGCACCGAGGTGCGTGGTGTGATAGGATGGGATGGGCTGGGATGGAGTTTGGGAACGTTCTAGCGCACACGACTGCATTTACACATAGTGTGTCCCTCAACAAAGACGGACCCTTGGTTAGGGCCTGGCTTTGCAAGGCACCCGAGGACCCTTGGAGGGTGACCCCGTGAGGACCAACTATTGTGTATTAAAGGTGTGCTTAGAGCTTCTAGATTCCAAACATTAGTGAAAACATATTGCTTTAAGAGCTTCTATGCAAACGCCTTCGATCCTCAACGTTCTCTCCCCTAGGGACTAGCCAAACGACAGAGGTTAAACAGAACCAGCCCCCTCAGGGCATAGCCAATGGCATTCATATGGTTAAGCTTGCCATCAAGCCTACACCACCGGCACGGGTCCGTCACCAGCAAGGCATGCGTTGGCAGTGTGCCCCGGCTAGCCACAGTGGAAGCAAGTGCCGAGGAAGCTCCTAGCATCGCCGGGGGGCGTGCCAAATTTGCCGCCAAACCCCGTGGGTCCTCGGCCTCCAATAAAAGAGCCGCGACCGTAGGAGCTTTGGGCGCGCTTCATTGCTGCCACATCTGCGACTGCCTGCTTGAAAGGGCGAGACGCTAGCACGCTATTCTGCCAGTAGAGCTTGAAGCGGTGCGCCGTCTTGAAGTCGGAGGCGTCGGCGACTCGGATGAGTAGGAAGCGGTCGCCGTTGAGCGCGTACGCCTCGTCGAAATGCTCGAGAGCGCTTGCGGTGTCTCCATGGCGTATCTTGTGCTCCGAGTGCTTCAGGTACGCGCGCAGGTCCTCAAAAAAATCAGCTTGCTCGAGTACGCCGACGTGGTGAAATTAGGAAACTGGGATGGTGGGGTTGGTGGATGGGAGTGGAGGAAGATGATTGGTTGGTGCAGGAAAAATAGTGTGTGCAAGAGCCTCACCCACTTCGTCTTCGGAGTTGCTGCCGTCGTTGACGACGTTGGGGCAACAGCGTGTTCCCTTTCCTCGCGAGGGACTGTGGGCACTCGATCGTGACGCACCAAATCGTCTATTGCATTTGCGTTTTTAGCAGATGCAAAATTTGTAGACGCTGCAACCGTAACCGCGGGCGACTGCAACTGTAATAGCGCCAAAAGCGCGTGGACTAAGTCAGAAGTTAACGCCGGAGTCAACGCCAAAGCGGCCGTTGCGTCAGAAGCTGATGCAGTCCTGCGCCTCTTGCGCTGATGCAATGGTCCAGCCATAGATGCTCGCGCGCGCTCAGCGTCAGGTGCGTGTGGCGCCACAGGTGCTGCACCCGCCTCCGTCGCCACTTGCGCCACAGGTGCTGCAGGCGCCAAGGGGTGCTGCTGGACGGGAGTGCTGGCGTTTTTGTTGACCTCGCCACTGTACAACAATGTTTTGATGCCAATGGGCACGATATCTTCATCGTCCGCCTGTCGCTTGTTGCGGCGGCGCAGTGGCCCCGTACAGGTGGACCAAGCCTGTCGACCTGCGCACCCAAATTGGTGTCGCCCACTGCAGCAGGTCGGCTGCACCCCCCGCACACCCGACCACGAAGTCGGCTCCGCCCAAGTGAGGACGGGGCCAACACACAACTCCCGTTGACACTCCCAACACCACCCCACTCAACCCATCTGCGCATCAGCTTTACCAGCAGCAGCTTGGATGTCTACTCTTCGCAACGGTAACCAGCAGGCTGGACTTGTCCTAAATTCAAGCCAGTTCACTCAATATACTAAGCGACCTGAAGAGAGAACATGTTGGACTTGCAGCACGCCCTACAATACTTCATATCTACACTGCACATCGGACTCACCTACACCACCCTCATGACTCACTCATTCAGCCTCGTCGGCTACGTGGACGCTGATCATGCCGCTGACCCAGCAAATCGACGGTCCAAAACCAGGCTTCCTCTTCCACCCCAAGCCCACGTCACCACCCTAGTTTGCTGAAGCGAAATTCATTGCTGCCACGTCAGCTGCTTGCGAAGGACTGTGCATGCAAGAACTGCTCGAAGAGGCGAAAATCGCAGCATCGAGAACCTCAAACTTCACTGCGATAACCAAAGAGCGATCAAGATCGCAAACAACCCTAGTTTTGTCAACCGCACGAAGCATATCGCACTCCATTACTTCTTTGTCAAGGACGAAGTTGACAAGGGCAAAATCATCTTGACTTATTGTCCGACCAATAACATGGCAACAGACTTCCTCACCAAGAAACTGCCACGTCAGCGGTACCTGTCAGAATGTGTAGTTTGTCTAGCCTGCAGTGGGGTACTCTATAATGAGTATGGCCCCTTAGGGTTTCCTATGTGTATCCACCTGCTTGCTAGTTCAACCACTTCTTCTTGCAACAATTTTCTCGACTTCCTTTGGCCTAGGCTACTAAGCCTAGGCCCTACTCCTTCTATTTAACAGTACCGGCACTGTGCAAGCATCTGCGATATAACTAAGCATGTTAAGACTTCCCTCATTTAGGAATGAAGGGGAGTCTTACAATGTGGAATTGTTGTTAAATATTCTTGAAGTAACTACGCTGCAACGCGAAGATGACTGCAGCGAGGACGAAGACCGAGCAACACAAGCAGTTATTGAAGATGGTTGAAAGCAGGAAGAATTTGAAATGCAAGCGCGGGAAAGGCATCCAAACAGTTACCATGCCACGTTCAGTTACCAAACCGGATAGTTGCCTTTTCCAATCTAGATTAGCCCTAAGGAGAATGTACCCACTTAGAGTACATGTCTAGCTAAGACTCTTCGTTTTCCAGTGTATTCATGTATTAATCCTTTTACCGCACTAAACAACTTGTACCCTTGAATAAACCCCTAAATCACTTTTCTCGAGATTCAAATCTCCCTCTACTGACAGGGTTCGCACCCAACCACTAGCAAACTTCTGCTGCTACACTCCGTGCGATCAACTTGAGCCGATCCTATAAACCTGTTTATTCATATTGTAACAGTACTGACACAAATATTTAAATAATTTGATAAAAAGACAATGGAGAATCTAATCGGGCATATCGTAATTGTCTCAACTTATGTACTTCCTTATGGAAGTCAAACGCACGCGCACGCGTGAATGTACGGTACGGTGTGCGGACAATCCTATTCTACGGGAGAGTTGAATTGCGTGGGACGCACGGACTGAATTCTGGTAGTGATTCTTGAGAGAGTGTTGAAATGCCTTGGTGAAATTCAAGCATGGTTTCACTATAAAAAATGTGATATACCGTAACAAGAGGTATGGTGCAAACAAGGAGATCCACAATAGCAAGCACAATGGACCCTGGAGAAACGTTCCGCGGCAAACACTTGACCTTTTCGAGTCATCAAAGGCAGGTGAAACGACAAGCACATGTGTCTTTCATATGAGTTGGCAGTTTCTCGGGTTTACAACCATCAGAGTTGTTTACGTTTTACTGTTTGTAAAAACGTGCTCCAGGTTCAGTTTCTTAACCGATCAAAATCTCCTGGGGAGTACAATTTCCGAGTTGACCTGATTGGTCAAAATTTGCTGTTCCGCGATTGGTCGAAATTCGCGCACATTGCAAAATTTAGAGAGAATTAAATTTGTCAACCAGAAAAGCTCTGCTCGACGATGCCTCTTTTAAGCTTCATTTCGTCGACCAGCGTTTCGTCCTAATGCCGTTTTCTACAATTTCGTCGACCTGCAAGGCTCGAATTCAATGCCGATTTCCTCTCATCGACAAGTGGCTCGTCGAAGGGCAGTTGCGATGAGCAGAAACAACACTTCAATTTCGACGAATTAATCTCGTCGAAAATCGACCCGTCGTACAGAGATCAGAGTCCCAGAGGCTGTCGCACACAGATAAAAGTCCCTAAAGTTGTCCCAGAGGCTGCCGATGTCCACGAAACGAACACCGTTGTGCTCCGAAAAGCATGGCCGACTTCGCCCAAGCGAGGGCGGGGCCTTTTCTCCTTGACATGGTGCGTGTATGCGTGTGTGTGTGTGTGTGTGTGTGTGTATGTGTGTGTGTGTATGTGTGTGTGTATGCGTATGCGTGTGCGTATGTGTACGGTATGTCTATGTGTATGTGTATGTGTATGTGCGTGTGTATGTATGTGTGCGTGTGTAGGTATATGTGTATATGCGTGTGTATGTATATGTGTATGTATGTATGTGTGTGTATGCATGCGCGAACGTATTTACATTTTTTTTAATGTGGATGTATTACATGTGCATGCAAACATCGTGAGTCGTAACTGATCCTGGTGCAAGGGAATATCGCAGAGCTAGAACACTGCAACCCTCCGCTATTATAGCGGCTTATATCGGAACCTCGGGTCCTCCCAGATTGCCCTGAAGCCCTCGCTCCAGCACATCTTGTCCTCATCACAAATATACGGATTCAAAGGCTTCTGATGTAAATATATTAAGTTGTGTTCATAGTCTACAAGTGTTGACTGTCTAGCTCTATCAGCGAGTATGAGATTATACGCTACTGCGAGACTTCTGTTATTGATGGGGACAAGGCTGTCTTGTATATTCTCTCAAACACCGACCACATTCTGTGGCGGACAAGGCTCTCAATTCGTTTTGGGTTTCCCTCGCGGATCCTAGTTGTGAAAGAATTCTTCCTGCCTCCATCACGATACAGGCAGTGTGGAATTTAACCAAACAGGGCTGAGGAAAGCTTTGCCGAAACAGGGCAGTGAGGGACTGTGGGGGACTGTGTGCCGGCTTTTGCCGCCGCTGGACTTCATCGATTTGCCTTTACAGCAGAGAATGTACGTGGTTCTTGAGTTGTTTAGACTCCAGCTCGGCCAGGGCATTGTCGCCATGACGGGTACCCGCTAAATAAACCATCATGTGCTTGCTGGGTGGTACGCTACGAAGTCCCTCTGAAAAACGCCCTGCAATCCTGAACCGTACAGTTTTCGTACCCTTTCCCACGTCGGGCTGAGCTGACACGACGCGCGACGAATCCCGGGGAGCTGCTTTGCACCAGTCAGAGTGGGTGAAACGCGCGGGAAAACCCTAACGGTTTTCAAGCCCACGGCACCCACTCCGACACACTGGCAACCTCCAGAGAGGTCACGGACGGAGCAGGGAAGTGACCGTGCAACAGTAGGACGCGATCACTCAAACCGACCCGCGAGAGCCACGGTTCGATTTTGTTGTGTTATTTTGGTAACCCGTTATGTAACTACACTACAGTTCTTCCGAACACTTCGCTACAATGACTGAGGGACCCGTTTTGCAATGGCAGAATGCGAGAATCGATCCGCCTGCAATCAAGCCGATAGGAAAATCGTGGTGGCAGCGGTCAAGCAAGGTCCTCGGCGAAATCGCTTTGGCGGGACGTTCGCAAAACGGTTGGCAGAAATCCCGTGTCACATTTGGGTGCACCTGGTAGTCTAGCGAAAAGGGTCGGGTTTCGCTAGAATGTCAATCGCACTGTTGCATTGTACTGCACCCTACTCTTTGACGTTCGTGATTGCATGGAGGGAGAGGATGGAAATGCAACAATCGTCCAGAGCACACAAGATCGGTCAATTTTGTCAAGGATCAGTGAGCAGACAAGATCCTCCCTCAATCCTCCCAAGTGCCCTCTTCCTTAGTGCGACGATCACTTTCGATATAAGTTGTCAGTCGGTTGTGCCGTCTTAGGTGAGGAATTCTGCTCGCGTGGTATCGTGCAGTGATTGCGCTATGGAAGTTTTGTTTCTTCATGATCAGCATCATGCGCTTAACCGACGTCAGCAGTCATGCGAAAGGCGTTCAGCAGCCGCGTCAATAACCACATGACGATTCACTAGCAACACAGCTCGTATTCATGTGCGGTGACGCGTAGGCCCTCTGTCGCTGCTCGGCTTCACGAGCATACCCGCAGCTCCTAGATAGCACTGCTAGCTAGAATGTCCCAAGTCTGTTTCCATCGGTGGAAGGCGGTTCGTCGACCGCTAGGCGTGCTCGTGGCGTCGGCGTTTCTCCTCTTATTACTGTCGCTCGCCTGGTTACCAGCATCACGATCCCAGGTATAAGGCTAGTACCCGCTACTGTGTCTCCACGGGATGATTCTAGATGCTGAATGTCGTTTTTCACTCGAACGACATGGTTCAGCCACGAACCCATAATTCGCCGAAACGCTGCGCCACGTCTGAAACATTTCTCACCCAATTACCCCCGTCTTCTGTTCGCATGCCTGCCGATGCCAATTCCCTGACGGACTCAGGCTATTTGACGTTAAAAGAACCCAACGTTTGCAACCTTTTCCCACAGAGAGTCTTGTCCTGTGGCTTACACTCCGAGAGTCTCCCATCCCTGCAACTCCCGCCTGCCATGCGCCTCACGCCCTTACCCCCGAGCTTGCACCTGCCGCCCTGCCGTTGACGCTCTCCTCTCCCCGCGACTTCCGGGTCAATTCTAGAGTCACCCGTCGCGTTCTCTCCGTCGCCTATTCCCGTTTCCCGGCCTTTCCCACTCTCGCATTCTCTCTTCCTCTTCCTCCATCCCCCCTTCGTTCCTCCCTCTCCACATTCCCCCTCCCATCCTCTCCCCACCCCCAATGTTCCCCCCTCCCGAGGTTCCACCTTTCCCACATTCCTGCTCCTCTCTACGTTTCCCCCGTATCCTACACCTTCCCTCCGGACATTTCCCCACATCCCCTCCCCGCTCTTTTGACAAAAAGGACGCGCAGACAGTCGGTGAAGGAGATGGGGGGGCCGCAGGAGAAGGGGGGGGCGCAGGTGACGGGGGGGGCGCAGGAGAGGGGGGGGCGAAGGGGACGGCGCAGCGTCAGGACCGGCGGAATTTATTGGGGGTTATGCCGGGGATGAGGGGAGCGGGTTCAGCAACGGTGGTGAGAGTGGCAGTGACAGCAGCAGCAGCGGCGCCAGCAGCAGTGGCGAGAGTGGCAGCGGTAACGGCGGCAGGGCGAGCAAGGGGAGGATGTTTAGGGGAGGGTTTGAGCTGCCGGATCCGCCGTCCAGATTCGACGCCCGGGCTGCGTGGCATCACATGCGGTACCGCACGCCTGAAGCGTGCTGGAGCCAGCAGGAGCGGCACCTGTATCATACGGTAAGTGTGTGGGGGGAATGGGTGTGCTTGTGTTGCACATGTTACAGTGTGAGAGGGGCTGTATTGAACTCGGTGTGTGTGGGGGGAATGAGAGTTCGTTGCACACGTTACTGTGTGAGGGTCCCCCGGATTCGCGCTTATTGCATGTGTAGCATACAGTGTGGGAGGGGCATGTGTAGTGAACACGGTATGGTGGGAAGGGATATCATGCATCTCCATGCCCGTTTGCTACTACACTGTGTGCCACATGTCCGTTTGCCACGAGTCACACATATGCCACGATCCCTCTGGTCCTCTCTATTACACCGTGTGTGGGCCCTAACAAGCGGACCATTCACACCCCTCACAGGTGTTCTGGATACCGTGGTGGGTGGCATTTGAGGCAATGCAGAGGGAGTGCCGTGTGTGTGAGCCAGGGGAAGCAGAGGAACTCCTTCGGTCAACTCACACATATGCCGCAATTCCTCTGCCCCCCTCCACCTCACCCCTACCCCGTGTGTGCCCCGACAGGCGGACCATTCATACCCCTCACACCCGCTTGAGGCGATGCAGAGGGAGTGTCGTGTGTGTGTGTGAGCCAGGGGAGGGAAGCAGATAGAAATCCCTCTGCTCCTGTCTACTCCCTCTCCTCTCCGACAGGCGGACCATTCACACCCCTCACATCCGTTTGTGGATGCTGTGGTGGCGTTTGAGGCGATGCAGAGGGAGTGTCACGTGTGTGAGCCAGGGGAAAGCAAAGGAACTCCCTCAGTCTATGCACACATACGCTGCAATCCTCATCTCCTTTCTACTCCCGTGTGTGTCCCCACAGGCGGACCATTCACACCCCTCACAGGCGTTTGTGGATGCCGTGGTGGCGTTTGAGGCGATGCAGAGAGAGTGCGTGAGCCAAGGGGGGGTGGAGGACTGGCAGTGGGTGCGCAACAGGAAAGACTGGTGCGTGATGGACTGGGTTTCAGCTTCAGAGAGTGTTGTAAGGGGTGGTTTAGACACCATATTTGGAAAATAACATCCGTGCTTGTGTGACGCGTCTGTGGAAGTGAGCCTCTGATGTAAACATGTAACCAGATTCGCGTAACCTTGTAACAGATTCGCATATCCATGTTTTGCCACTCTTATGCCTCTCTTGTTGCCTTCCCCTCCTCCCCTCCCCACACTCCCCACACTTCCCTTACCCCTCCTACCCTTCCCACCTTCCCCACACTCCCCATCCTCCTCACCCTCCCACCCTTCCAACTTCCCTCCAGCTCTGCTCTTCAACCTCCACTCACAACTCTCCTGGCCGGACAGGCAATCCTGTCTAGCAACCCCCTCACCTCCCCTCCTCTCCCCTCCTGTCGCCAGGGACCAGGGGTGCCATGGTACGGGCAACCCTGCCAGGCAACCCTCCTCCTCTCCTCCGCTCTCCCCACCTTCCCTCCTCCCAATCCCCAGGGACCAAGGGTGCCGTGGTACGGGCAACCCTGCCAGGAAACCCTCTCTAACAACCCTCCTCCTCTCCTCCGCTCTCCCCACCTCCCCTCGTCTGACTCTCCAGGGACCAAGGGGTGCCACGGTACGGGCCCGACAGGAAGCCGTGCCGCTACATTATAATCCACCACCTGAGTCGAGGTGAGTGCTTGCTTGAGGGCAGATACATATTTCATGTCAGCTACAGAATCCTTGCTCTTTGACTCTGCAATGACCAAGGGGTGCCGCGATACGGGCCGTACAGGACCAATCAGCATTCTACGGGTGACTTGTAGTAAGGTTCTTGTCTTTCTGCCTTGCAGCACAATGGACCTGAATGTCTCTGCCTTTTTCTTTGCATGCATGTTAGATGCATGTCAGGCGCGTGTCAGACGCATGTCAGATGCATGGTAGAGAGCGTACCCCCAAAGAGAGTGAGGAGCGTTGGAGTGGCTGAGGAGGCACCGAGTGATCTGCACCAGGGTGTGGTTGCGGCTCTCAGCTATGCCGTTCTGTTGAGGGCTGTCAGGGAGGGTGAAGTTTTGCTGGATGCCTTCGGAGGAGCAGAAGGCTTTGAGCTTGTCGTTGCAGAACTCACCCCCCCCATCCGAGTGAAGGCGCTTGACCTTGCGGTCAAAAGTGGTCTGTGCCTGCTTGACCCACGCTATGATGACCTCGGGTGCCTCAGCCTTAGTGTGGAGGAGGTGAACAGAGACATAGCGGGAGTGGTCATCCACAATGATAAGGAAGTAGCGATAGCCACCTCGTGCGAGAACAGGGGCAGGGCCCCAGACGTCCATGTGCACGAGGTCCAGTGGTGCTGCAGCGATTGTGGGTGAGGCAGCATGGGGCTGTTGGCGCAGTTTGCTCTTGGTGCAATCAAGGCACGTGGGAGCTGGTGAGTCAGGTGGTGGGGGAAGTGCGGCTGGCAGGCCGAGGAGAAGTTTCTTGGAGGCCATGTCAGCAAGAGTGCGGAAATTTGGGTGCCCGAGCCGATGGTGGTAGAGGATGGTCGGGTTGGAGAGGGTGCGACATGAGCATGGTGTGATAGTGGCCTGTGCTTGGGTGGTTGACACCTGTGGGAGAGGGACGCGTAGCGTGTAGAGGCCGTTGCTGTTGAGGGTGTAGCGGGCCAGAGTTTTGTTGGTGCGTGGATCGATGATGTCGCAATAGTCCTCGTTCTCTGGGAAGATGGTGCGTAGCCCTGCCTCCTGAATTTCTGTTTGGGCAACTAGATTGTGACGCAGTGAAGGCACGCACATGCCAGTGACAGTGCCGGATGGGAAGGCGGGGCATGGGACTGTGGAGGTACCCTTGGCGAGGGTGGTGAAGCTTGAGTCAGCTCCTAAGAGAGGGATAGGTGTTGGGTAAGGTTTGAAGGAGAGGGTCTCCTTGAGCACGGTGTGAGTGGCCCCGCTATCGAGTGTGAACTCTATGTATTGTGGTGCGTGTGATGAGCCGATGTACTGTGAGGTAGCTTCATTAATCATGGCAGTGCCAGGGAACAACAGGTTGATACGCACATCAGCAGGAGCAGCATCACTAGCACTAGTCGAAGCGGGGTCCTGGACCTCAACTAGGTTGGCCTTGCGAGAGCGCATCCAATTCGGCGGCTTCTTGTCCACTCCGTGAATGGCGTACCATTCGTCGTCTTTCTTCTTGAAGCACGTGGCGAGGGGGTGGTTAGTGCCACCACACACTTGTCCCTTGCGATTCCCATACTTGACGACGTAGGGGCACGGAGGAAAGCGGTTGCGCTGGAAGGGCGCCGAGGCGAGAGCCGCTGCGACACTTGCTTGAGGCATGGGAGCGCGGATAGCGTACGCCTTGGCCTGAGCCGTGGAGTCTTTCTCGGCAGAGAGGAGTGCGGTGGAGACCTTAGCAAAGGTGAGGTCCTCTGCTGAGAGTGTGAGGAGCATCTTCCTCGTGACCTCATATGCCGAGGTGAGTCCAACAAGTAGGGCGGCTGCAGGGGCTTGCTCGGGGAAGACTATACCCAGCTCCTTGAGTTCGCCATGAATGGTCTGCACCTTGGCAATGTAATCGGCCATTCCCGAGCAGTCCTCAAGGCGGACCTGAAACATGCTAGGGATGAGAATGGCCACGCCGACCGCCGTCTTGTTCATGAACCGATCCTGGAGGTACTTCCAGATGGCGTTGGAGGTAGGGTAGTTATGGAACGTGTTGACAAGTTCGGGAGGGGTGGAGGCGATGAAGACGCTGATGATGGCAGCATCGGCCTTCTCCCATTTCCGGTACTTCTCAACAGCCTCCTCGTACGCCCTCACGTCAGTATCACTTGGAGATTCGGTCGGCTCACGGGGAATAGTAGGCTGTTTCCCCTTGCCACGGTTGAGGAGGACGTCCTTGAGGTCAAGGCCCTGCACGTCACGGCTCAGGAGGTGCTTGTCAACTCCGTAGCTCCACGCCTTGAAGTTGGAGCTAGAGCCATCAGCTTCAAGGCGGAGCGGGGTGATGGGGTTCGCCATGGTGGAAGACGAGAGAGCCATGGTGGAGACCCCTTCTCGCGCGGAGCGCCGCTCTTAAGTCACCGATAGGAATGGACAAGAAGCCGCCGAATTGGATGCGCTCTCGCAAGGGGTGTGGGTGTACAAGAAGCCGCCGAATTGGATGGCGTGAATTGTGAGTAGGCAGTTGAGTACATATAGCAAACTCTAATTTGAGCTATACTCGCTATAGAGTACCCCACTGCAGACTAGACAAACATCACATTCTGACATACCCCCATAGTCAAAGTGGGGTATAATCAGCACAGCAAGCAGGCAGAGCAATAGTTCACAATGATAAGCAAAGCTAGAAGCTATCACAGAGGGCAAGTGAGGAGGAGGAGAAACTGTGGGGGCGAGAAGATGGGAGGCGACGGCTGAAGCTGCAGAAACTCGGGCAACAAGAGTGCGCAGCACTGTGGCTACCAGGCGCAGAGCCCCGGACTACACGGCGACAGGCGCAGCTGGCTCTCTGGACTACCAGGCTAGACCCCGGACTGCAGGCGCTGCGGACGACGAGACGGCTTCCTCCACTCAACTTCCCCCAGCTGTCCCACACCCCTTTCACACACCCCTTGCGAGAGCGCATTCACGGAGTGAATTGTGAATGGCGTGAATTGTGTTTGGTTGGGTGTACACCTACATCCCAACCAAACCCAAATGTAATCTCCAACCAATCTCCAACCCACCAATTGGAGATTGCCTTGGGATTACCCCCAATCCCTAGAGATTGCCCCCGATTCCCTTCCCCATCCTTTTCCTACCCCTCTTGGATGTACTTAAAGAGCTTCAAGCTCATTACTAATGCATCGCTTCTAAGCCTATTTCTGACATGGTATCAGAGCCCTTCAACCGCATACGCGGATCGTGATCTTCTTACCTCTGCGGATACTCGTCCCGCAAACCTCGGCGAAGCCATCGTCAACCTCGTCGCCGGTGATTCGCGACATTCGTCGGCGGAAATTTTCCCGCTGCACCTTCCCGTCACTTTCGACGGTAATTTATCTGGTAAGCGCATCGTCCGCGCTATAACCTAACGCTCGCTTTCCTCCTCGTCGGGCCGCCGCCCGTCGCCCTGCAGCTTCTCGTCGGGCTGCCGCCCGTCGCCCTGCAGCTTCTCGTCGGGCCGCCGCCCGTCGCCTCGCAGCTTCACGTCGGGCCGCCGCCCGTCGCCCCGCAGCTTCTCGTCGGGCCGCCGCCCGTCGCCTCGCAGCTTCACGTCGGGCCGCCGCCCGTCGCCCCGCAGCTTCTCGTCGGGCCGCCGCCCGTCGCCTCGCAGCTTCACGTCGGGCCGCCGCCCGTCGCCCCGCAGCTTCTCGTCGGGCCGCCGCCCGTCGCCCTGCAGCTTCTCGTCGGGCTGCCGCCCGTCGCCCTGCAGCTTCTCGTCGGGCCGCCGCCCGTCGCCCCGCAGCTTCACGTCGGGCTGCCGCCCGTCGCCCCGCATCTGCACTCCTACCCCTTCCCCCTTCCCGCAGCTGAACAGGTGCAGCAGCGCAGCCGAGCAGCCGTGTAGCCGCGAAGCAGAGCAGCCGTGTAGCCGCGAAGCCGAGGGTGGTGTGTGGGGGGATGTGTGATAGATCTACGGAAATCGGCCGATTCGACCTAATTTTGGCGGCCTGAAAAGGAAAAAAGAAAAAAAAAAACCTTCTACGTGACATTCCGACGCGGCCGACATTGACGATTTTCGCTATTCCGGTCCGTCGGATTTCGGAATCGCCGCGCTGCGCGCCGCTCATTTAAGTCACCGAATTGGATGCGCTCTTAAGTCACCGTCGGTGAAAGGGGTGTGTGACAGCTGGGGGAAGTTGAGTGGAGGCAGCCGTCTTGTCGTCCGCAGCGCCTGTAGTCCGGGGTCTAGCCTGGTAGCCCAGAGAGCCAGCTGCGCCTGTCGCCGTGTAGTCCGGGGCTCTGCGCCTGGTAGCCACAGTGCTGCGCACTCTTGTTGCCCGAGTTTCTGCAGCTTCAGCCGTCGCCTCCCATCTTCTCGCCCCCACAGTTTCTCCTCCTCCTCACTTGCCCTCTGTGATAGCTTCTAGCTTTGCTTATCATTGTGAACTATTGCTCTGCCTGCTTGCTGTGCTGATTATACCCCACTTTGACTATGGGGGTGTGTCAGAATGTGATGTTTGTCTAGTCTGCAGTGGGGTACTCTATAGCGAGTATAGCCCAAATTAGGGTTTGCTATATGTACTCAACTGCCTGCTAGTGAAAATCCTCTTTCCTGTTTCTTATTCCTGCCTACAGATTCTGACACCGTTCTCTGCAGATCCGTTCTCTGCAGATCCGTTCTCTGCAGATCCGTTCTCTGCAGATCCGTTCTCTGCAGATCCGTTCTCTGCAGATCCGTCCCCAGACCTGCTGCTTGTGCACCGCATCTTGCGGTGCGACGTGCGTGCTCAGTACTACTCACCCCGAGGACCAATCCCCCCTCCTCCCACCCCCTGTCCCCTCTTTTTCCAGATCCGTCCCAGACCTGCTGCTTGTGCACCGCATCTTGCGGTGCGGCATGCGCACGCAGTACTTCTCACCCCGAGAACCCCTCCTCCCAACCCAACTACCCGCCCCGTTCCCCCAAATCCGTTCTCCAGACGGCATAGACCTGCCAGTGGCAAACCGCATCCTGCAGTGCGGCGTGCGCGCGCAGTACTCTACTCACCCCGAGGACCCCTCCTTCCGACCCACCCCCCGGCCCCTCCCTCTGCAGATCCGTTCCCCAGACGGCATAGACCTGCCAGTGGCAAACCGCATCCTGCAGTGCGGCGTGCGCATGCACTACCTGCCGCCCACCCAGCCGTACCCCGAGGATCCGTCCATGGCCATGCCGACCCTCGGCGATCCGGGCGGCGGAGCGGGCGGCGGTGGGATTGCGGAGACTTACCGGTCGTTTCGCACGATGGGGGTGTTTGTATCGTCTCTGAACATTCGACACATGCTGGATTTGGAAACGCACTATGCGCAGCACCTCACCATCGGCAACACCTTCGTCAGCTTCTGGTCGTGAGTGCTGTGAATCAGGGAAGGCTGTGGGGTGAGGGAAGGCTGTGGGGTGAGGGAAGGCTGTGGGGTGAGGGAAGGCTGTGGGGTGAGGGAAGGCTGTGGGGTGAGGGAAGGCTGTGGGGTGAGGGAGGGCTGTGAGGCCAGGGCGGGGGGGGGGGGGGGGGGGGCGGATGGCATGGCGGTGGATTGGCATTGGCACGGCACGATGAGGGTGTTTGTGTCGTCTCTAAATATACGGGACGTGCTGGACTACGCACTACGCGCAGCATTTGACCATCGGCAACACCTTCGTCAGCTTCTGGTTGTGAGTGCACTGTGTGTGTGTGTGAGCGTGCGCGCGTGCGTGCATGCGTGCGTGCGTGTGTGTGTGTGTGTGTGTGTGTGTGTGTGTGTGTGTGTGTGTGTGTGTGCTTGTGTTGTGAGTGTCGTGTGCCTTCTCGAGAGCGCAGAGTGCTTCTGGTGGGTACTCTGCTTGGTGTTCATCACTCCAGGTCCGGTGGACTTGTAACGCATATGAGTAACACGCGTATGCTTCATCATATTGCACACATATGAGTAAGGAACCAAACCCTTGTAAGCAGCAATCCTCTCTGGTTGAAAGCAAGGTGAGGAAAAGGGTTGCTTTCAAAATATTGTGCTTCTCGTGCCTGCTCTTCTGCCCGTGCCTGCCCTGCTTCCCATGCCTGCCCTGCTTCCCATGCCTACCCTGCTTCCCATACCTGCCCTGCTTCCCATGCCTGCCCTGCTTCCCATGCCTGCCCTGCTTCCCATGCCTGCCCTGCAGGCTTACCAACGAGGGCAGGGAGACCAGAAAGGAGCAGCAGCTGATAGATGCGGTGATGGACATGTGGATTCTCAGCTTCAGGTACCTCGTCTCACCTCAATCGACGGTTGAGTGTTGTATGGTAACATGGTAACTTGAAGGCAACACGGCAACTTGAAGCAGCAGCAGCTGGTTGACGCGGTGATGGACATGTGGATTCTCAGCTTCAGGTACCTCATCACATGGAATCTGATCTCATCACATGGAATCTGATCTCATCACATGGAATCTGATCTCATCACATGGAATCTGATCTCATCACATGGAATCTGATCTCATCACATGGAATCTGATCTCATCACATGGAATCTGATCTCATCACATGGAATCTGATCTCATCACATGGAATCTGATCTCATCACATGAAATCTGATCCCATCACATGAAATCTGATCTCATCACATGAAATCTGATCTCGTCACATGAAATCTGATCTCATCACATGAAATCTGATCTCATCACATTCAGTCTCAACTCATCACATGAAATCTGATCTCATCACATGAAATCTGATCTCATCACATGAAATCTGATCGCATCGCATGAAATCTGATCTCTTCACATGAAATCTGATCTCATCGCATGAAATCTGACCTCGTCACATGATATCACTTCTCATCACATTCAATCGTTGAGTGTTGTACAAGTTGTGAAGGCAAAACTGCAACCGGCAGGAGCAGCAGCTGGTCGATGCGATCATCACGTCTCATCAACATCGCATAGCATCGTATCTCTCATCTCATTGCATCGTATCACATCGCATCACATCACGCACAGCTCATTGCCGTCGCATCTTCCGTTGCTCCCCTCCCAATCATTCCTGGTCCCTCCAAACAACCGCCTTCCCTGTCCCCCTTACCCCTGCCTCCCATCCCCCTCCTGCCCCTCCCAAGCAGTGACCGGCTGCTGATATCACAAATCTCATTGCCGTCGCACCCCCCTCCCGCCCCCTTTCCAAGCAGTGACCGGCTGCTGATATCACACATCTCATCATTCGGCCGCACAGCAGTGGGGCTAGCGGGCAGGGATGCATATTCAATGGCCATCACTGTCATCAAGATGAGGGGGGTGGACTGGCGGAACAGCACGGGGCCCGTGTGTGAGCGAGTCTCCTCTGAACCCTGTGACACGCTGGGGGCTCCTGTGTGCATAGTGAGTGGTGCTGGTGGTTGGTTGAGTAGCGGGGCAGGTGAGAGTGTTGTGTTGAGCTGTGGGCAGGTGAGCATAGGTATTCAATGGCCGTCACAGTCATCAAGATGAGGGGGTTCGACTGGCGCAACAGCTCTGGGCCCGTGTGTGAGAGAGTTTTGAGACGTCTCAAAACTTCACTGAATACAAACAGCTCTGGGCCCGTGTGTGAGCGCGTCTCCTCTGAACCCTGCGACACCTTGGGGTCTCCTGTGCGCATCGTGAGTGCTGTTGGGTGAGGGGGGGTTGTGGTGAGCAAGTCAGAGGGAGGGGGGTGTGGTGGGCAAGTGAGAGTGTGAGAGAGTCTCCTATGTGTTAATGTTAGTCCTCAGTCTCAAATTTGTACTTGTACTTTTTATATTCTAGGTTAGTGTAGTTTGCACTTTGTGTTTGGTTGGGTGTACACCCACATCCCAACCAAACCCAAATGTAATCTCCAAGCAATCTCCAACCCACCAATTGGAGATTGCCTTGGGATTACCCTCGATTCCCTAGGATTGCCCCTGATTCCCTTCTCATCCATGCTGTACTCATTTCTGATGTACTTAAAGAGCTTTGAGCTCACTACTAATGTATCAGTTCTAAGCTCAAACTTTGACACTCTGGCCCTGTGACACCCTGGGGGCTCCTGTGCGCACAGTGAGTGCTGGTGGTGGTGGTTGGGTAGTGGGTGTGGTGAGCACGGGGCAGGTGAGAGTGTTGCCGGAACAAGTGGAAGAGCTTTATTGCCTCTCATGATGTAGGCTCGGCGTTGTGAAGTCGCTTCGCCGCCAGGTTTGCGCATAGGCGCATGAATCCCATTCCATTACCCCGAGGGAGCAGCGCCCGAGGTGACTTTTGAGTCGACTCAAAAGTCACCTCATAGGCGCATGAATTCCATTCCATTACCCCGGGGAGCAGCGCCCGCATATAAAGTGAATTTTTTTGACGTCTCAAAAATTTACTTTATACACGTGGCTTACCCCAGGAGAGCAGCGCCCGTAGGTTTCCACCGCCATGGCAATTAACCCAACCCAGAGCTGCCGGTTACGGTAATTATCCTCTTTCAATCCCTTTCCCTCCCTTTCCCTATCTCTTCCTCGCTTTCCCTTCCTTTCCCTCCCTTTCCCTTCCTTTCCCTCCCTTTCCCTCCCATTCCCTCTCTTTCTCTCCTTTCCCTCCCTTTCCCTCCCTTTCCCTCCCTTTCCCTCGCTTTCACTCTCTTTCACTCCCTTTCACTCCCTTTCCCTCCCTTTCCCTCCCTTTTCCCTCCCTTTCCCTCCCTTTCCCTCCCTTTCCCTCCCTTTACCTAAACCCTAAACCCTCCCTTTTGCTCCCTTCCCCTCCCTTTCCCTCCCTTTCCCTCCCTGTGGGTCACCTGTTCATTGTTCCTATGCAGAGCGGGTGCAGGTGGGACTACAATCGCAGTGGGCTAAGGGGACCGCAGCAGAGGCCAAAAGGATTTGGGTTCTGCCCTGGAATGAAATTTGGTGTCCAAGATCTCTACCCACTTCGCCATCCTGTCACATAATTTTTTTTCAATTTATTTTATTTTATTCTTTGCATCATACGGTATGTCACCATAAAATTAGTTTACATACTACATTGTTTGGAAGGAACCAGGGCCTCAGATATCAGGAAAAAAACCCTGAAATTCCTGATTTTGGCAGCCGATTTTCAATCTACCCTGAAAAGTCAGGGTTGGGATTTTTGTAGGACTGATCTTTCAGCGTTTTTTTATTGGCCACACTGATATTTCAGGTTTTAGGGCCGTTGTACACTGATGCCACTACGTTGTGACGAAACCGACACTGAAAGCGAATCTCACGTGTGCCATGTCACCTCGACCGCAATTACAGGGAATCTCAGATTCCCTGTATGTAGGCACCCCGTGGCGGGACCACCCTTAGAAATGTTGCCTCAGGTTCACGTTGAGAGGTGTTTTTTTGGCGCGGTGCCTCACACCATTGGGCCGTTTCGCTGCAGCATCCAGTGTTGGCCAATCCGAACGTGGCAGCCATGTGGTGCTGGCCGGCTGCCAAGGGTCCTGCCCCGTACCCATCACGTGCAATGCGCTAGGGTTGGGCTGTGCTGGCAAGCACCGTGCCATCCTTCTTGACGTCGTGGTGACGATGCTTCCACGCCGCCCAGCCAGCCCATCCACCGTTTCCGCCATCCAGGGGCCCCTTCTTCTCGAAGCTTTGCATCTGAAACTGGGTTTCCCTCGTTCACCCTAGTGTACCAAGAGGCAGCCAGCCGTGGCTTGTGTTTTGCGCTGGCAATCCCTTGCCTCTGCAGTTGTCACTAGGTTAGATGCGAGGCCGTCCGCGCTGCTTACCATGGTGGAGCAGCTTGACGGCATGGAAACAAGCGGCGAACACGCCGGTGATGCGCATCGCCAGCCGCATGTAGACCGTACTGAAGTTGTGACCGGCATCGATCTGTTGTTTTCGGGCTTAGCGCAGGTCAGTGTCGATGAGAAGCCACCAGAACTCGAGCCGCCAGACAAGATACCGTTCGAGCACATAGATGAGGAGGCGCTCTGTGCATCCCCATCAGCGCCAGTCATCGAGCAAGACAGCTCACCGCCTCCAGCTGAAAATCCCGCTCCTGAACCCGTGGCCAAGAAAACCGGCCGATACACGCAGTCAACGCTGCCATGGTTTCCTAAGGCCGCAGTCGACAGAGCTACCGTGCCTTCGCCAACCGACCAACGGTCATCGTCCGTGATAGCCAAAACGCAAGAGTCGCCATCAGTTACGGGTCCTTCGAAACAGTCTGGACGCGACGCGCTCTACGCCGAGGCTCTGTATAAGTATAAGACTGAGTGGTTGGACACGTTTGAGTGGCTAATTTTACAGCGGCAATCTGACGGTCTCCCTGCTTTCAAATGCTCTATCTGTACCGAGCATGCAGGTTATGCTAGAAAGTGCGGGAAAGGCGGGAAGGGCGCCACAGACGTACAGACTCAGGCGTTCAAGAGGCAAGCATCAACAACAAAGCACAAGGAGGCGGTCAAGAACCAGGCGAAGCTTCTTGCGGAAGCTGGCCGGCAGCCGCGTATCAACGGTGACAACCTCGCTCGTGACACCGAGAAGGAGCGGGTCATCAAGCTGTGTGACTCCCTGATCTTCGTGACCAAGCAAGATGCACCCATAGAATTATGGGTGAACCTCGTTCACTACCTCGCGGAGCAGAAGGTTCCGGGATTTCCCGCGAAAGGATACGGAACCTACTACACCACGTGAGTAAACGCATACTAAACATATACTTCATGTTGTGTGTGTTCTACATTCATACTCGCTCTAACCGTGATTCACATGCGCCACAGGTACGGCTTTGGCCAACTAACACAGTCGATCGCGACATGGTTACACACACGCAGCTCCAGCACATCCTTGCAAGCTTGTACATCGGACTCACTTGTGACGAGAGCACAGACAGGTGTCGAGGAAAACACATGATCCTTTTCGTTACCTTCATCCGTGAGAACCGACCGGTCACTAAATTTCTGGCCCTGCTGACTGTGGAGAAGTGCGACGCAGCATCTCTCCTCTCAGTGTTTCTGTCTCACCTGCAGGCTCTCGGCATCGAGCTATACAAGATCGCTCGTATATGCACCGATGAGGCGAAGGTGATGATGGGGCGCAAGAACGGCCTCGTCGTACGGCTTCGCCTCCGCATACCGCATCTCGTCTCAAGCCACTGTGTTGCCCACAGGTACGTTTATTGTTGAACCATGCTTATACTGCTTGTCTGTATCATCCTATGCTAATATCTCGTGCTGTTTTTTTTTTTGTTGTGCTGTGTCTGCAGGGAGGCGCTCGCAGCAAAACATGCAGCGGAGGCCCTTCCCGAGTTCGACATAGTTGACAGCCTGATCCATCAACTCGCAGAGCATCTCGGCCGTTCCGGCCCCTGGCATCAACGCTTTCGGGAGCTTCAAGAACTCTTCACGTCCACGAACCTGGAGCTTCAGGGGATTCATCAGGTCCGCTGGCTCTCCAGGGGTGACGCTGTTCTGCGTCTGGTGACCGTCTTCCCCGCGATCATCGTGATGCTGTACGAGTGGGACGAAACGCTGTACGAGCTCGCCACGAGCTACAGGTTTCACTTCCTCCTGTACTTCCTGGCAGGCGTGCTCGAGCAGCTGAACATCCTTAACAAGTCTTTCCAGCAGCGAGAGGTGAGCGACTTGTTCTTTCAGTGTGTGCTGCACTTGTCAAGATGTCTTGTTCTTTTATGCGTGGCTTCTATGTGTGTATGTCAATGCAGTTCTATTGTTGACGGTTACACACAACAATCCTTGTTTGAGAAATCACCCCATGGCTCGACTTCCTTGTGTCCCTCCGTGTTTTTTCTGTCGCCCAAACATAGCTTGACATTGCAGGTGTGCACGCGCAGATCAGGAGAACCATCTCTTACCTGGAGACCCGCTACGTCGACTGCGGCGATGATTTTGGGGGCGGGTTGAGCGCGCGCCTGTCCCCGTTCATCATGAAGTACGGGCCGGACAGTGACAACCCCGAGGTCACGGTGCAAGGAGTGGACTCTGACGGTCGGCCCACAAAACACACGTTCAAACTGCACGAGAACCTGAGCGAGGACTACCCAACGCTGGGAAATCACTACAATTGCGTGAATCTCTGCACCTCTTTTGCAGAGACGCTCGTGCGCAACCTCACCAAGCGGTTTGCAGACTTGGACTCCCTTGTGGTAGTCAGGCTGTTCATGCCCGATGAGTATCCGCCAGAGAGAGGAGAGCGCCACAAGCAGTGTCACGAGTGGCTCATGTCACTCGTCAAGCTGTTCAGGGCACTGGAGACAGACTACATCCTTCCTGGTACGTCTTGATCGTGCACCTGTGCTGTACTAAAAACGCATCGTGTCAACATTTTAAACATTAATGTCTGTGGAGGTGTCTGCCACGTCGGTCAATCGTACTAACGATCTCTTATCTGCTTTGTCTGGGAGGGATCGACAAG